GTTTTTTTTGTCTTTAAAGTGTTTAACTCCCTGTACACAACTCACTCCTTTTAAAGAAAAAAAAATTGAAATGTAAAGCTGTGTAAGACTTGTTTTTAAATTGTACAGTGTCTTTTGTTTTTGTATAGTTAATACACTACCAAGTGTCTTTAGATACCCTGTCCTGGTGGTATTTTCAGTAGCCACGAACCTTGCCTGGTACAGTCTGGGGCTGTAAACTGGCATGGAAATTTAAAGCAGGCTCTTGTTGGTGCACAGCACACATTAGTTACACATGGGGACGGTAGTTTTTTGTTTTGTTTTGTTTTGGCTTTTGGTATTTTTTTCCATCTTCAGTTGTCCCTGATGCAGCTTATATGAAGATAATTGTTCTGTTAACTGAATGCCACTCTGTAATTGCAAACAAACAAACAAACAAAACCCCCGTAGCTGTTCTGTTGTCATTCTGCATGCTTCTAAGTAAATACAATTTTTTATTAAAAAATAAAATTAAAAGGGAAAATTATTTTTAATTTCTCCCAGTGCCTTCTCAACTGCATCCTAGCTGGGGTGTGTGTGTGTGTATGTGTAAATGTGTGTGTTGTGTGAGTGTGTGTGTTGTATGGTGTGTGTGTGGTGTGTGATGCATGAGTGCATGTAAATGAGTGTGAGTGTATTGTGGTGTATGAGTATGTGTGCATGTGTGTAGTGTGTGTGTGGTGTATGAGTGTGTATGATGTATGAGTGTGTGGTGTGTGAATGTGTGTGTAGTGTATGAGTGTGTGTGGTGTATGAGTGTGTGTGGTGTATGAGTGTGTGTGGTATATGAGTGTGTGTGGTATAGGAGTGTGTGTGGTGTAGGAGTGTGTGTGGTGTAGGAGTGTGTGTATGGTGTATGAGTGTGTGTGGTGTATGAGTGTGTGTGGTGTATGAGTGTGTGTAGTGTATGAGTGTGTGTGGTGTATGAGTGTGTGTGGTGTAGGAGTGTGTGTGGTGTAGGAGTGTGTGTGGTGTAGGAGTGTGTGTATGGTGTATGAGTGTGTGTGGTGTATGAGTGTGTATGGTGTATGAGTGTGTGTAGTGTATGAGTGTGTGTGGTGTATGAGTGTGTATGATGTATGAGCGTGTGGTGTGTGAATGTGTGTGTAGTGTATGAGTGTGTGTGGTTTATGTATGTGTATGGTGTATGAGTGTGTGTGGTGTATGAGTGTGTGTATGGTGTATGAGTGTGTGGTGTAGGAGTGTGTATATGGTGTATGAGTGTGTGGTGTAGGAGTGTGTGTATGGTGTATGAGTGTGTATGGTGTATAAGTGTGTGTGGTGTAGGAGTGTGTGTGGTGTATGAGTGTGTGTGGTGTAGGAGTGTGTGTGGTGTATGAATGTGTGTGGTGTAGGAGTGTGTATATGGTGTATGAGTGTGTGGTGTAGGAGTGTGTGTATGGTGTATGAGTGTGTGTGGTGTATGAGTGTGTGTGGTGTATGAGTGTGTGTGGTGTAGGAGTGTGTGTATGGGGGGTGTGGGGGGCTGTGAAGGTCAGAAGTCAATTTTTGGTGTCTGTCTCCATCTGCCACTACCTAGCTTCTTTCATCTATCATTTGTGTATACAAGGTGGGGGTAGGGCACTTGTGTGGAGGTCAGAAGACTGTATTGTGTGTACACGGTGGGGTAGGGCACCTGTGTGGAGGTCAGAAGACTGTATTGTGTGTACACGGTGGGGTAGGGCACCTGTGTGGAGGTCAGAAGACTGTATTGTGTGTACACGGTGGGGTAGGGCACCTGTGTGGAGGTCAGAAGACTGTATTGTGTGTACACGGTGGGGTAGGGCACCTGTGTGGAGGTCAGAAGACTGTATTGTGTGTACACGGTGGGGTAGGGCACCTGTGTGGAGGTCAGAAGACTGTATTGTGGCCTTGGTTGCTTCCTTACACTTTCATGTGATCTCCAAAAACTGAACAACTCAGGCCATCAGATTTTGCAAGGGCTTTTTTTTTTTTTTAAACATAATGAACCATTTGTCAGCCTCCTTCTCCTTATTTCTTGAGACAGTCTCTCACTGAGTCTGGAGCTCACTAATGGTGCTAGACTGGAAGTCCCTAGGATCCCGTCTGTCAGTCAGTGCTGGGATTACTGGAGCACACCGCCCCAGCCAAGTTTTTAGGTGGGTCCTGGAGAACTGAACTCAGCTCTTCATGACCACACAGCAAGCAACTTATCCACTAAGCCATCTTCTTATCCCCCAGCTTACACTATAAAAAAATATGTATTTATGTTGTGTACAGTGTTCTGTCTGCAGGTATCCCTGCAGGCAAGAAGAGGGCACCAGATCTCATTACAGATGGTTGTGAGTCACCATGAGGTTGCTGGGAATTGAACTCAGGACCTCTGGAAGAGCAGCCAAGTGCTCTTAACCACTGAGCCATCTCCCCAGTCCTACTTTATACTTTTTAGTTGAATTTTTATTTCTATCTGTAGGTCCACATACAGCTGGAAGAAAAAGAATCTCAATGACTCTTACGTTATCCTCAATGGTGACATCCATCACTGTATAATGTCACAACCAGCCAGTCCGACAACCTTATCCAGATGTTCACAAGTGTGCGTGTACATCCCCACAGTTGATGTGAGCATCTCATCTGTGTACACTGTATTATCAATGAAAACTCTCAAGGCACCAAGCATTCTATCACCACCAAGATCTGTCACGAAGCCAACAATCGGGCTGCTGGTGGCATGCCAGTAACATGGGGAATAAAACTAGGCCTGGGGATAACCCAACAGGAAGCAGCAGACAGAAAGCAGGAACCTAGGCAACAGCCTGTAGAGCCAACGGAGCTTTGGAAGCTTGTGCCCTATGGAATGAGACACGGGACTGGCACACAGGCGCTCCTCACAGGCAGGCAGGACAGAGAAGCATGGTTCCTGCCTCAGAGCCCTAGCCCAGTCAGGTATCATCAGCTTTCCTTGGCAAAGAAGTCAGTTTTTTAAAACAACCAAACTCATTAAAACTTAAGCAACCGGAACTGGAGCCATAGCTCAACAGTTAAGAGAACTGACTCTTTTTTGCAGAGGACCTGGGTCCAATCCCCAGAACCCACCCACCCACCACCCACCCAGTATCTCCTAACCAAGTTTAACTCCAGTTCCAAGGGATCCAACACTCTATTCTAGCCTCCACAGGCACCAGACATGTGTGAAATACATAGTGCACAAATACACATACAGGTAAAACACCCACACACAAAATAGTAAGCTTACAAATCCAAACGAAACCAAAAGCCTGGATGACTTGGGGAAACAACGCAGAGGTCTACGCACTGCAAGCATGGCTACAGGCTGCTCCAGCCAAGCTCGTCTGGATAGGGTTGTAAGGAAAGTTCTCCTTCCTGTCCTGAGTGCCTCTTCACATGGCCTTCCTGCCTAGGGATCAACTCCACGAGCCACAAGGCATCCTGGGTTGGGCAGACCTGCAAGCGCAAGGCTGTGAGTCCCTGAACAGTCAGCTGCCCTGGTGCTTGTGTCCTTTTTTTGAGAGGGTCTCCCTATGTAGCCCTGGCTATCCTCTATGTAGACCAGGCTGACCTCACTCCCAGAAACCTACCCGCCTTTGCCTCCTAAGTGGGATTAAAGGTTTGTCCCACCACACCCGGCTAGTCAGCCTCTTAAAGTGAGTCATAAGGGACCCAGCAGCACCCCACTCTAGTGTCCTCGGGACCTTTTTAAAGAAAGCAATGTAACTGCCTACTTAAAGCAGTATTCCCAGATGGAAACATCAGCAGAATCCCACATCTATATGCAGCTGAACCTAAAATTAAAGCTTAACTGGGGCTGGGGTGGGTAAATGCATGCTGTGTACCCAAGAGGGCTTGAGGCCAGTCGCCTAGTGCCCATGTCAGAGAGCCACCTTGTGAGGATAAGGTGGGGTGTGATGGAACACACCCAACATCTTCCTCGGCGTCTATGTGAAAGCATGGGTGCATGCATACACATTAAGTAAATAAAAGCTTAAGAAGGCTGGGCGGTGGTGGCGTACGCCTTTAATCCCAGCACTCGGGAGGCAGAGGCAGGTGGATCTCTGTGAGTTCGAGGCCAGGCTGGACTGACAGCCTCCAAAACAATACAGAGAAACCCTGTCTTGAAAAAAAAAAAAAGCTTAAGAAGTCGGTGGAGCCTGGACCCAAAACACAGTGGAACTGGGGAGGTAGTGGGGGACAATCTGAGATGCACAGTTCTCTAGGGCAGAGCTGCTTTGAGACTGAGCAGCTGTACTCAAGAGTGAGAAGCAAGTGTATACAATGCCTTACATGGAGAGAATCCTCCATATATGGTGACCCTCCCACCGAACCTTTCAAATGCTACCCAGAATCCCATTGGGATCCAGATCCTAGTCATGTCAGGGCCTCTCAGGTGTTTTTGGGTTCTAGCTCTAGGAAGCACTCTCCATAATGTCCCAAATCTAGCAATCAGCAAGAACAGAGTGGAACTTTGCTGAATGTCATCAGTCTTGCTCAGCATGGCCACTAATCATCAGAGGCACAACTCCACCTTCAAATCGCACGCCTACATGTGGTCTGACCTGCCAAGGTCTCAGACATCTGGACTTGCGTTGCCTTCCAATGTCAACAAGCACTGACTGACAAGGTAGGTCAGAGGTAGGCTCAGTGGATACTTGCGGTGCAGACCTGGTATCTGCACAATGACCAACGATACATTTTGGTCCTGCAGCAAGCAGACAAGTGAGAGGACTACTTTGCTGGGGATAAATAAGCACAGGGAAGACGGCCTTGTCTGAGGAAGCACTGCCTTGTAGCTCAGGGAGGATGGGGCTGAGAGCACAGCTGGATGGACAGGAGCACACCCCACCAGGACCAGGCCTGAGCACCGAGTGAGCCATCTGTCAGACAGGTCTGGCAAGTGGTGGCCAAGAATGAGGTACTGGTAACTGCGAGGGATTCAGAATGACTCAAGAATGACAAGGGAATAGAGCAGTTGTTAAGAATGCGGAAAATATCAAAACCACTGATTCTTTTTTAAAATCAAACACTTTATTTCCACATAACAAGCGCAAAAAACTCCCAAACACTTTTAACAATACAATTAACGAAGTTATGAAGTCAGTTATATACTACTCAAAGCCCCAAAAGGTCACTCAGCTTAACGTTCCAAACATCTCCACACATGGTTTTTCAAAGCTACCTTTGGTTTTTGGAAAAACCAGTATGGACGTCAATACACACCGAATGCACTGAACATTTGCTTAGGTTACGGTGTCCGACATTAGCTTACAGCTGGCAAGCTGGAGCTTGATTTGAAGTCATACACTGGAATACAGACACAGTTCTGCCCTAGAGCTCCCGCAGAGAGAAGCAAGGGGCACGGTGGTGGCATCCCCACTGTGTGAGAGGTATGAGGTTAACACTAGGATGCTGTCAAGTCACTAAGCTTCATGTTCCGAATGGTCCCGCTGAGGCTTGAGATGGGCACAGATGGTGGGGGAGGTGAAGCCACAGAAGAGCTTTGAGCAACAAGATCCCAAAGATGCTCGGGGAGGAGGGAGCAAGCTACAGCTTCCACTGTTCTCACATTATCTCGGGTGCTTGTGGAGAAGTTCAGGTAAATGTTCAAACATTTGCTTACATTTTTAATCTGCTGCTCTATGAGAAGAATGCTCATGTGCAGCAACTTTGTAACTTTCATTATAAAAAAGAGCCTACAAATAAATTCACAAAAAAGAGACAATTAATGTTGAGCAGCCAAAAAAGTCATGGTTTATTATCTGAAGATTTCATAATTCAAACACAACCAAACTGTACATTTACAATCACATCCTATTTGTAAACAGTTAAAAGCCACTGACCTCTTTTGCATCTTAGGACACAAACAGTTAGAATCAAGGCAATGAAAGATGGCATATTCTGTACTGTTAAAAGTTTACCCTTGTTTAGTCTCTCTTCTTTGACTAAGCAAGCATTATAATACCATTTGTGGGCAAAGAAACAGGAGCTGGGGAAGGAAAGAAATTTTAAAATGGTGTAACTCGTTAGTTTGCAACAACATTTAAAATTTTTTTTATACAACAAACAACTCTGTAAGCCCAATGTCTTGGTTACAGTATGCATAGTTACTGATCTCGGCTTTAAGGTACAACAGTTAAACATGAACACGGTCACAAGAGAGCAGAGACATGAGAGCCACTGATGGGTTACAAAAAGTCACCTAGCGATCGATTATCAGCAAACCATCATCACTCACTAATAAAGGACAGCATCTGAAAGCAGACGGCAACTCCAGCTCAAAGCGCTTTTTTTTCTTCTTTTTTTTCCTTTTTTTTTGGCAGAGAAAATTCTTGAACAGAGCAATACGTAATATCAGTGCTAAAAGTTGGGGTTTTCTTTTTCCTATAAGAAACTACAAGATTTTTTTTGACGGGGAACTGGTTTCCTGAGAACCATGCTCTTTGATTTAGGACAGGGGTAGAAAACAGAAGAACATGGCCAAATGCTGCTCTTTTTCCCAGAGATAGAAAGCTTCTTTTAAACCACCCTCCTCTATTTTTTTTGTCTTTTAATTTTTTTTTAAATGATGGAAGAGTAAACATTTTTTTTCTCAAAAAACAAACAAAAAATCTGTAAACAAGAAGGTTCACCGTGGGAACCTCCAAAACAACATGGAAAGCCTGTTCAAAGTGCAGGGCCCGTCCTGGGCAGCAGGCGGGCTGCAGGTCACAGCGGTGGCCACAGTTTCTCAAACTGTAGAGCGAAAATTCTTTAGTTTTACAACATGAAAAAACTGGTGCAATACTTTCATTAAGAATCCTACGTCAGTATCTTAACTTGATCTTTTAAACTCCACGATACCACAATAAGGTAGGCAACATGAGGCATAGTAGAGAGTGCTCGCCTTTAAGAACATCCTTGAGTAAACATTTACACTGGAACAGCTGCCCCCCCCATATTGCCGATTAGACGGAGAGAACATCACTCAGTGCAAAGGTAAAAGCTCATACATCAGCCCAAAAAAATGGTTTTGCAAAAAAATACAAATAAAAATAAAAGGTGGGGATGGGGGATGGAAATGAAGGAAAGAAGGAATCCGAAGGCTAAACATGATGAATACACAAGTGAGCTCATTCCACACGGTTAGCTGTATGGCGCTATTTGGGAGTGTAAATAGATAGATACCCTTTCACATTATAATATTGGCCTGCATGATTCAAGTATTCAAACTGATATGTTCTGGGGAAAACAAAGTGGAAAATGTGCAGAAATAGCTGTTCCCACAGGCGGCCCTGCTGCAGGCGGCGAGCCCAACTTAGTGCTCCTTTCCTTCTCATCTTGAGGTCACAGTTTGCGTCTATACCTATGCAGTTACATGGACTCTCCACCCCCACCCAGGTGGTCAACAGAAAGAAAAGCATTAATGGGGGATGGGCTGCTAATTCCCCGGGGGTCGCTGCTGCTTGGGGGACCCCACAGGCTTGTGGAATAATGTGGGGTCCCCCAGAGGGAAGTGCCGTGAAGGTCTCCACAGTTAGTTCCCGACAGCCCAGCACCATTCCAGTGATTGAGATCGGTCCGGCTGGAGAATGAGTGGGAACAGTCGAGGGAGCCCAGCCGGCTCTGGCTGGACCCAAGAGACTGCCAGCCAGGAGAAGGGGTCAGAGACTGACTTTGTGCAAAGAAGCGACTGATCTCCTCTTCACTGGCAAACTCAGCGAGAATAGTAGTGTTCCCCAGCACACACCTAGAGGAGAGGGCACAACATGAGAAGGCCTTCTGGTCACATGGTTACATAAGCTCAATTAGCAGTGAGACCTGCTCTGAGAAGAAACCAAGGAGGCACAGAAGGAGCCTGGCCTGCCCCCATGCCCACAGTGAAAGTCCCAGAAAGTGTCTAGACCACAGGGTCTTGTATTTCCTGGACTGGCCTCCAACTCCTGGGCTCAAGTGATCCCTCCATCTGAATCTCTCCAGGGCCATGCTGACCAGGTCTATACAGGGGTCCTGGGGCTGGGCTTCTACTCACAGCTCCCCCAGACCTCCCCAAAGGAGTCTTGGGCAACTTACATGTGCAGAGACTTTTGTGCCTTCACTACCTCTTCTTTTGAACTGTAACGGACCAGAGCATTTCCATGTTGGAGGTTCAGATGGAATGTAATCAGTGGGCCATGCTGCATGCACAGGGTGCGCAGAGTTGAGCCATCAATCTAGACAGAGAAGGTTGAGGTTAGGGACTCCATTTTAAGGGCCATTGGGAGGTACCGCTGGTCCTTTCCATGCCAGGTCCAGTATCCCTTTCTTATATTCACTGAGCCTCAAGCTATGTGACAAGCCAACACACGCAGTATGGTTTCATGTCTTTTCTTCCCCTGCTCCAGAACAGGACCTGAAGGCACTGCTCTGTAGGGAGCAGCCTGAGAGCTAAGAAAATGCTCAGATATAAAAGGGCAAGCCAAGGTTTTCGGAGGTGCAGCACAATCCCACAAACACGCCTGCAAACCCCAGGCCAGCACTACCCAAGTCAGCATTGGGTGAGATGGAGGCATCTGCATTTTTGTGGCTCCCCTAAATATAACAGCACGAGAACCATGGGATCAGCCCCAAAGCACTGAGTATCATCCTCTGCCCAGCCTTGATGACCACTGACAGGCCCTGTCTTGGAACAGCAAAGTGTTCCATGCTCCCTTGCCCACCATGGACACGAAGGAGGAGGCACCTCCTTACCTGAGGTGTGAGGTTTTTCAAAACAAGCCAATTCGTTATTCTCCCTGAGCTGCTCTCTCCCCAGCTGGAACCTAAACAAAGAAAAAGAACAGTCCACATTCTATTACTATGACTTGAATGACTAAGACAAGCACAGTCCAATCAAATGACAGTTAATTCCAGTCATCAGGACTCCCATCTCCTTTGCATACTTTCCCTTAGTCTAACAAACAGGTGTGGGACGTCTACTCACTCCAGTCTGGACCAGGCACTGACCCCTACTCTAGGTGGCTCTCTTTGGGAGGCAGACAAACCACAACGTCTCACTTCTTTGGCATCTCATCTTTTCTTTGAAATGTTGCTCCTAGGGGCAGGCCTCAGGGAAGCCTCCCTGCACATACCCTAAGATGTGAACCCTTTAGCATCACCCAGACATCCTTTGATTTTGTCTGTGGTACCATTTTAGTCCCCACCTAGCCTTCCTGCATGGCCCCACGGCAATCACTTTCCTTCTACAAAGGAACTTTTAAACACAATCAAGAATCACCTGTCCCCCAAGTCTATTTACAGGTATTTCACAACTATGCCACTGTAGTTTTCCTGGGATAATGCAACCAATGTTTGCTTGAGCTTAAGGATCAATGGCACCCCCTTCCACTCACAAATGACTGCTTAAACAGTAAACTTCATGATCGGTCATTCTTGGAATAGGCCAAGCCATGACCCAAATAAGCCACTCTCCAAGGCTCAGCTGGGCTGTCCTCCATACATCGCCTCCAGCCTCATGTTCTATATGTAACCTTGTTCTGCAAGCCTGTCACGGTAGGAAACCAGCAGACTCTTACAATGCTTTCCCAAGGAACTTCTGAAAAGAGATCACCACCTCACTAACATTACTATTGACAGAAGTATCCTTAGGTAAGCCTTCTTATTTATTTAGACAGGATCTCCAGATACAGATGATACCAACTTCTTCATACTTAATGTTCCTGTCCTCACTCCCCTGGGGCTAAGATTTCATACATGTACCACCATACAAGTCTGAGTAAACATTCTTAAGGAAACCAGTCAAGACTCCTAACCAGGAATCCTGTTCAAGCTCATTTTATCTTTCCATGTTAACTTGGATAGCTGGCACCAGTCAGCACTGAGCAAACAGCTCATAATTAAGCACCACAGACACTGTGTCCTACCTGGGGTATATCTGGCATCAGAATTTCCCCATCCTCCACCTACACGAAGGGGAGAATTATCCCACGTAGACAAGGGTGGCTTCTGACCAGTCAGCCCTGGAGGTGGGCGGGACGGAGCAGTGATGTTTTTAGGTGGCAAAGGGACTTTCCACAGCTCATGAGCCAGAGAGGTGTTTGTAACTGAACCAGGAGACCACGTCAATTTGGAATCACTATTTCTGGCTATTCAAAGAAGAAAGGGGGAAAAAAAAATAAGAAAAATTGAAGAAGGATAGGATAATGTTAGAAAAAGAGAAAATTTACACAATAACAGCCACTGTTCCATGAAAAGTGAGTAAAACAGATGGAAAATATCAAAAACCCTAAATGCAACTAAAGACCTAAAGGAAAAAAACAAAAAGCCCAAAGGCAGCGACTTCTCCCTCAGGACCCTTATCTGTTACTGTCTTGAGACTGTGCAAGTACAGAACTACTCTCTGAGATTACAACATAGACTATAAAAAAGTCCACACCTGTGAGCTCCTAGGCCGACAGGGCTACTTAAGAAAGAGACACAAGGTCAGCAGATACATTTTAAGCTCATCATTTACTCATGAGAGAAAAGCTATAACAGTTACCCCAATTCAGGGAGGTGGTATAGTAAATACTCGCTGGCTGCTTGCAGAGTGCTAGGCTCTTAGTGTCCTATCCTGACAACATCAGAAAGGTAAATGATTTGCACAGATAGGATGCAAATGTAGGCCCTTTCTAGTTTAAAACAGAATGAGGAGGGGCGATCAATTCTTGCCCCATTCTTGCTGGCTCAGAGCAGTGACGGGACACAGAGTTAACCATGTCAAAAAACAAAACAAAACAAAACAAAACAAAATTAAAAACCCAACAAAACTGAAAAGATAAGGAGAGAAAGGAATGGGAAACACTTCAAAAGCTGTTGAACACTCAGACCCGAGTTATTATAAAGTGCATGGTCATTAGGCCAAGGCTCCTCCAAGTGTGGCTACAAGAAGCATGGCCACAGCACAGTTTACCTGAGCAGCAGCAGATGCAACTGAAAACCCAGGGCCACAGCCATCTAGCTCACTGCAGAGCCTAACTCTCCAGGACACACTCATTCTGGCAGTGCCTATAAATTCCCGTTTCCTGCATTTTGCACAACTGCCAGCCTGTGAAGGACTGAAAATGAAATAAATAAATGCAGATGGCTTTCAGTAGTACTTTACCACAGGGCTGAGGTGACTCAGATGACAGAGCTGTGGGGTAGATGTAGACTGTTTCACATGAATGCTGAACAGCAAACTTAAAAGGGGAGAAATGATGTTTGTAACATAAACACTCCCTAACTACCTAAGACAACAGAAGACAAGCAACAATGTAGCTAGCTGTTCCTGAGAGAACGAGCCCACCTGAAGTGCTTTGTGCTGTACTGCTGAGGGGAACATTGTAGTTGGAGGCACGAATGGATGACCAGGCACTAGTTGAAGGCAGCGTGGTGTTCAAGGATGAGGATGACCCTGCAGAAGAGAGTCCAGTTAGCTACCAGAGCAGAGCATGGTGTCTGGGAAGCGGCAGGGTCACAGCATGCCCCCAGACAGAAGTCAAGAAGACTTGGATTAAAGATGGGGCCCAAGACAGAAGCTTCCTTCCTGCTGATTGTTTCTGTCCTGGCTCACAATAGGCATTTCCTTCTTGCTTCCCAAGAACAGAGCAGCGGCTAGGAGACCCAGGCTTTCCTTCCAGCACTGGCACTGTGAAGAGGCTGTTCTTGCTGCTCCTAGCCCCTGACTCTGAAAGGCAATGATTTTCTACTGGAAAGCCAGGCCACCAAAGCACTCTGTCACACATTACCTAAGAGCCAGGCCTTCACCTTTTCCATGTCTGGGCTCTGTAGTCTTTCTTCCCATGTTCAACAAAGCCTCTTCCTCTAATTTAGCTCTGGACCTGACCATCACCTGGTCACTAGAGTTCCCTGATCAACCTCCCAGAGGCCATTCCACACACCATTTAGATACACCGATCCTATACTTTTAGTGGTGACTCTTCCTTTAATACCAAATTTAATCTTTCCTCTCTACTTTTAGAACATTCTACCCACAAAGAAGCAGTTTCTATAGGCAACCAATTCTTCTGTAACTCCCTTTAAGCCCAGCCTTGTACCTTGCTATCTTCTGCTGAATTGGCTCTCACTACCTCTACACAGCTGTTTGGTAGAGTCTGCCATTTCAGAATGATAGGATTCTTCATTTAGCACTATGATGTGGCAAACACCCGCTACCTTAATAAACTACATATTAGTATAAACTGCTGGCTTTTTTGTTTTCTTTGTAAATTACTAAAAGGAATAGAAAGGAGAATATATTATGTTTTCAATTACTTTAGTGCTTCATTAACTTATTTCATTAAATTTTCTCCTAGTGCAAAATAATGGACAAAATATTCACATATGCCTAAGGTGAAAACAGCCCTGTGATAGGTACAGGGTAATTTCACCTGACAGTCCTTTATAAATACTTGAGTTCTACTGTTTGAAGCCTTGAAAACTCAGACTTTTTCTTTTGTGGAAAGCATATCAACGTTGTTAAGTATAAATTAACTGTACGTCTGGCAGTTGCTGACAGCATTGTCAGAAAGTAAATGCTTGCATTCCTTGGTGTTCACTTACTCAAACCACAAATCCTCATCATCTTAAAAGTGGTCACAGTTAATTGCATTTTTTATGTCTCAATACCCATGGTGTGAGGAATGGAAGGAACCCTGCTTAGAGTCGCACCAGCCACGGTGAGATGGTCTCATCCCATGCTGTTGCACAATATTCTCACACCAACTCATGCCTGTACATACCACTGTTCCTGTCCCTGAGGTGATCAACTTCCCGCACAGTATTAATTGAAAGACTGTTTATGACACTGCCAGGAGTGACGTAAGGGTCAGTTTCAGGGTCAATGTTTGGATAACCTTTCCATGGTTCACCAGGGCGAAATTCTGCAAATGAAAATTCAAAATTAGTACATGGCTTTAAAATTCAAACTAAATACCCAAACATTCATTCCTAAATCCTGTGTGACAACACCTTCTAAAAGGTCAGGGTGGTAACGGGATTATACGCCCCTATATAAACTTGCTTATTTATACAACTGAAAAATTTTCTCTAAGTTTCTATCTTTCCAGCATTGCAGCAACTCTGGTAGGCCAGAGATGCACTTCCAGTGAGCTTCAATGCCAAGTGAATCCTTTGACATGGTCACAGAGCAACCACTGACTAGGAAGGAGTTCTTATGACTCCCACACAGGCCAGTGAACTTATCCCATGATTATTACTTGAAGCAAAGGAACTGGAGCAGACAGACAATGATCCAACTTCATGCTCGCCTTTTCACTGCACCACATCTGAACTTCTGATCACAGTTAAGTGAGGCCAGATAACACGGATAGGCTATGAGTACCTTACCTGGTGGCCAGTTAACACTGCTAGAGCCATTAGGCGATTTGGCACGTGGCCAGCCATCTCCTATTGAACCTGGAGGACTGGCTGGTGAAGTACTGCTATTCATAAAGTCATAGGGAACAAATGGAGATTCTTCCAGCCTAAAACCACTTGAAATAGCACCTACAAAGAAAAATATGATGGTGAATATAAGCAAGCTATATTATCACAGTCACTTCTTAAGTTTCTCAAATGTAGAAAAGCTTCTCATTAGGGATGTAGGTGCCAAACTGTCCAGTTTATTATGTGAAGACGCACGACAAAAGGACTACTCTGTGACAGACAGCATGCTGGGGTTTTGACACAAGAGTGGGTGGGAAAAAAACCACAGTGGCTCTAGAATTTTTCTTCTTGCTACTTTTCTCTCTTGCTTGATTCTCTCTCTCTCTCTCTCTCTCTCTCTCTCTCTCTCTCTCTCTCTCTCTCTCTCTCTCATACACACACACAGAGGCATTAGAGGTGGGGGAGAATGAATGTGAAGTTGGGTGGGTAGGGAGATGGAGACGGGGAGGATGACTATCATAAAAACACATTACAGGACATTCTCAAATAACAGACAAAAATATCAAAGAGAGAACCTGGGATGTTTAAAAATATGTATCTGTGTCATGCACCTTCAGGTGCTCTTCTGTGTTGTCTGTAACACAGTACAAAGTCAATTTGCTTTCTACTTGAAAGTCTCTTAAATAAGAAGATAAAGCTGCATTTTTGAGGCTATGCTTGGTTGTATGGCTTTGCCAGACAAGGGCTCATATGCGGAGGAGGCCGGTCACCTTAAGGCCATTACACAGTTCAGAATGCCCTTGAACTGAGCTTTCCAGCTTCACCTCAAGTTCGGAGATTATACGTGTGTGTCACAATGCCTGGCCATTTTTACAAAAAAATTAAAAATAAAAGGTTTGTTTTGGCTCATCCAAAGCACATTTTTGCAATAAGGAAAAGGTCTAAGATTAACTTGCCTTTCAAATATATGCACAAAGATGACAAAGGCCAAAATTTAGAGTTATTTGGGTTTATTGTTTACTTTATTTTATGTGTATGTGTCTCTGTGTGTGTATACATCATGTTTATATAGAGTGTATGTGAAGGTCAGAGGACAAGTTGGTGGAGTTGGCTCTCTTCCTAACCATGTGGCTTAGATCTGAACTCTGGTTGTCCAACCTGGTGTTAAACACACTCAAGCAATAAGCAATCTTACCTCCATACCCACCCCACATTTTTTTTCCCCAAGAGAAATCAAAGACTATAATTGATACCATGTTTGCTGGAGTTTTGATCCAAAGATGTGTTCACAGAAATGCTGTCCACCGTAGTCCACTTCCTTAGTCTTGACTGTGGCTCTTTAATACTGTTCATATCCATATTTACATTCAAGTTTGAGTTCAAGCCTTGAAAATAAAATTTAAATCTTACAAAACAGGGTGTTTTCCTTCTATTACCAAATTTCTACTTTCTAAAAATCATATACAGCTACTGTTTTCAATGCTGCCTAATATCCCTCAACAAAGGCAGATATGTAGTCAGATCACAGGTGCCTGGCTCGGTAGGTACTCTAGTGCTCCACAGTACTATGCTTTCAAACCAGAAGGGCTACTGCTGTTACAGTGGAAAACTAGTCTTCCACACAAGCTTGGTCATTTAAAAACCCCACAGAATAGGAGAAAAAGGTTTTAAGGGGGCCATATAGTTTGTAATTCTACCCCAAGTTTAGTCATTTTCCCAGAGTGCCATGTACTATGTATGATTACCCTCAACTGACATTTCTTGATTTCAAGTTGATTAATTTCCAGATGGCGACTAGCCAAAATGTTATTTAAAAGTAACAGCTCCTAACTCCAACACCTGAGAGAAAGACTCCCATATCAGAAGGCACATTTATTTGAGTCTTGCTGATCAAGCATGTCATCAGATATTCTCTTGGACTAAGGACAAATGATTGTTTTATATAATGCTGTCAGAAAATGATAACAAGACAGTGCTTTTAAAAGCACAATCCAGGCACTATCAGCACTAGAATGACTTCAAATATTTGTCATGAAACAAAAGCTTAAACATACTGGCATTAGGCTTGTACTATAAAATCTTTTAAATCATTCCCAGTTCCATTTTTGCAGAAAACAATACAATTTTTGTTTAGACCTATCAATTAGGCCAAGAATTTGCAAATATTCTGCATAAAGTTTCAAAAGGTAGCTTGGAGAATATATGGGCTACATGGTCTTCCCTATACCATTATGCAAAAGAAGCCACAGACAATATGTTAAGGAAATAACATAGTTCTGTTCTGATAAAACTCTGAAACTGGACACTGGGCCAAATTTTGCTCACAGCTATCATGGAGTGTCTATGTAGATGAAGCAGAATGGAGAGGCCATCTGGAGAGGGCACCCGGCATTGCAGCTTCCTCTCTACAGCTCCCTATCTGTCAAGTGCAATCACTTCTCTTCATCCTCAGTGCCTCCTGGAGCATTTCACCACATTGGGAACTGACATGGGAACTGTTTCTGCTAACAATACCAAGGACTCATGCCCTAGGAGAGAGTCAATATGTAACATCAAAAGAAAAAAAAAATAGAAACCCCCCAGTCAGAGACAATTACTAGCAGGACCAGACCAACACATACTCCAACTGCTCTCTACAGCCCATAATACACTAGAAGAACTAGGATCTTCAACAGAGCTGAGGTAATAACCACATGGCTCATTTACATGAAACTATTGTTCAGGTGGGGGAAGAGATTTAAAAAAAAGATGAGCCGGGCATTGGTGGCGCACGCCTTTAATCCCAGCACTCGGGAGGCAGAGGCAGGCGGATCTCTGTGAGTTCGAGACCAGCCTGGACTACCAAGCGAGTTCCAGGACAGCCTCCAAAGCCACAGAGAAACCCTGTCTCGAAAAACCAAAAAAAATAAAAAAATAAAAAAAAAATAAAAAAAAGATGAATGAGGTATGCTTAACCAAGGAACCTGGGAAAGAGAAAACATGGAAACCTTGAATTTCTTTGCTGAGTTTAAAGAGCCTGGTGATATAGAGGGGGAAAACAAGACACAATTCTTCCTCATATCCATTTTCTTAACCCAAGTGCAAACCTAATGAGGCCTAGTCCCAGTATTTTCCACAAATAGCACCTGCTCACTACTTTTCTTCCCAATAACACCATCGTCAGCCTTTCTGCCTCTGCACATCCCACAGCCTAAATCTGCAAACAAGTGTGTCCTTTATCTACCCCTCTCTTGGTAGGTGTACAGCTTTCTGAAATATGGTGGTTGTTGAGAGCAGGCAGACGGGCACAGGAGAAAGCACATTCACTCTGCAATAAGTAGTGTCCTAAGGCCAGCGCTGTGCAGAAGACCAGAGCTGCCAAGGCAGTGGAGGTGCACGTGTGTAGTGGCCAAGCAGGAACTCACCTATAGGAAAGTTGCTGAAAGCATTTACTGGCGATGGCCCTTTCTGCAGCTCGGGTGTAGTGTGGGGCATGACGTTATCAAGGAAGGACTTCATGGCTGGCTGATGAAGTGGCTGCTGAGAAGGCGGAGTCTGCTGCTTCACCAGCAGGCTTGGATCAAGTTGACGAGACTGTTGCATCATCTGCTGCTGTACACTAAGAGGTCGACCCTTCAAACAGCAAAACAATGGAGGAAAATTGTGAGGGTGTGTCTTTAATAGGTACACACTCTTCATTTCCTTCTCAGGAGGAAGGACACCAATCAAAGTTCTATAGTTACTATGACTTCTGGACAAACCGCAAGACTAAAAAGCATACTACATTCATTCAATTTTATGTTTTTGGTTGTGAGCATAGCCTTTAATGGCTGAGCGATCTCTCCAGCCCATACTTCATTCAATTTTAATATAAATCTTTCATTAACCAGTGGAGAGGGTTTTTTTTTTTACCTGCTGGTCTTGCTGCTGTCGGTTAGCAGAAGGCACACTTCTCTGACTCTGCTGCACCCTCTGCTGCTGAGCTAACAATCGCTGAAAGAATATGGAAAAGGGTTGTCACTGTTTTGCTGTCACAAATTAGAATGCTTACGGAAGACTATGGTCAGTGGACCTATAGAACTATACTACATACCCAAGTCCTGACTCATGCAGTAAAACCTCTTCCTTAGAATATTAATCTAGTTTCTAGAAATTATGCAAAAAACCCTGTCTTTAGTTTAATCTAACTTTTGCAATGCTGTGGATAAAACATGGGTTTACATCTGTTAAACTCTTATCAATGAAACACCCTCAAACCCCAGATTTCATTTTAACAGGAATCCCCCCCTCCCCCAGTCATGCTTCCCTTCCTATATTCCTTTCCTGGATCTCCCCTAAAAACATCTTAAACTTCATGTAGGCCCACTCTTCATCTTTCCAGACAGGCCATGCAATGCCTCTGTTTACTGCAGTGCCTGCTGTAGAACCCCCACTGCATACCAAGCAATTAATAAATACCTACCTGTAACTGGGAGATCTGAGAAAGCTGGTTTAGTTGGGATAGCTGGTTCAGCATGGCTACCTGTTGAGGGCCAAAGAGCGGGTTCAGGCCACCGTTGTTTGGTGCATACTTCAGCAATGAAACTGGAACCTTAGAATCACAATGGTAAGTTAATAATGTTGCTGTAATATTCCAGACTAGCTAAGCATACTATGCAATTTAATTATCAATTGGGCAGTTGGAAGTAGTGGGCTGTTCCATGAGATGTCACAGGCATTCAAAGTGTGTATTCCTTACTAAGAATCAGTTCACATATACTCCCTTTTAGAGTAGGTCAAAACGACAAAGATAAATGCTAACCATACTATTTGACTTTGCTGTTGTTCTCCTAAAGATGCTTTAAATAACCATTCTTTATCCTTCTCCCATAGTTTTGCAACAATAGGTAATCAGCATTTACAGTATCTCAAGATGTCAATAATTATTATGATGCCTACTGGTCATCTCAACCATAAATATTTATTTGTATAAACGTTTTGCCTGCATATATTCAGTAAATCATATGCATCCCTGATGCCCAAAGAGGCCAGAAGAGGGCATCAGATTCCCCAGGAACAGAGTTACACACAGTTGGGAGTTGCCATGTAGGTTGAGAATCAAACTGGGTCCTCTGGAAGAGCAGCCATCGCTCTAGAACCCAAACAAAAACTTATTCAAGGTTTACCCCCAGGAAAGTGGAGAAGAGCAGGAGCTTGCTTACCTGAGGGGAGAGTAATGGAGGAGGCACTTGAGCACGGAGATTAGGCTGAGATGAACTGAGAGGTTGTGCTGGAGGCTGCTGCATGCCCCGGGGTTGTGCTGCTGTGTTTCCAACACCAAACATACTAGGATTGCCATTCTAGAAAACAACCAATAAAATAAAAGTGATTCTTAAGGGAAAGACACTCACTGCCATGATACTACTGTTTAAACACAGTAACTACAAACAAGTGAGACATTACTACTAAGACAGATCATTAAAGAGAAAGCCTACAATGCACATCTGGACTTACCTGTCTAACAGAATTCAAGTTTTGCGTACCCAGCCCTGCTATGGAGCCAAGGGCCTGGTTAGGTAGTGCACTATTTGAAGGGGGAAGCTTCATGCTTTGACTGGACATAAACTGCATGTTTTGGGATTCATCTGCTACAATGCCATCCTGATTGGACAGACAGAAAGATGTGTAACACCAGCCAAGCAAACAAGTAGAAAGGAGAAATCATTGCAGGAACAGAGGAGAAGTCACATGACATTCCAGCACCAACAGGAAACAGGTAGAAAACAGAAGAGATCAGATTAGTGTTAATTCTAGAGCACATAAACAGAGCTAAACACATATTTCATGGGACTAAGAAGAAAATATACACATAACCTCTATGCAAAACTGAGATATAAACGAAACAGTAAACTAAAAGCCCATTAGTAGGAAAGGCACTTGATTATACTTTTTATATTACAGACATTTTTCCTAGATACTATGCTATTAAGGGTTGATTAGTCTTAGAGATTAAAAAAGAAAGATTGTACCTTATCAAAATAAGGATTGCGCTCCATGGAAGACTCTTTGGAAATCTGAGGCCGAGAACCAGGACCTTTCCCGACCGTTCGATTGTAATCACCAATATTTAGGCTATGTTTATCTATCTCCATTCGCTTGTCTTGTAACATTCCTAATAAATGCAAGACACTATTATCAGTAGGAAGAGAACAATTTATTTCATTGAGAAAAATTTACAAAGAAAGCAAAATGCTCACTTTCAAAATGAAACAATTCCTGCTTCGACAAACACATAAAAACTACATTTCTGGCTGGGCGGTGGTGGCGTACGTCTTTAATCCCAGCACTCGGGAGGCAGAGGCAGGCAGATCTCTGTGAGTTCGAGACCAGCCTGGTCTACAATAGTTAGTTCCAGGACAGCCTCCAAAGCCACAGAGAAACCCTGTCTTGGAAAACAAAACAAACAACCAACAACACAACCCACTACATTTCTATTGTATAAATTTTGCACCTTACATGTAACTATTTTAAACAAACAGTACTATCTTATGAACCAATTAACTTGAAAAGAAACTGGTAAGCAGAAAGCAGTTAACAATCTCATTTTAAAGACTTCTTATGTAATCTAAGACATCTTACATCATCTCTTAACTACTTAACATTTTATGTATATGTGGTCACTCTCGGGGACATGTCCATTTTCTGAGACAGGGTTTTTCTTTGGCCTCAGCTAGCCAGGCAGCTCCAAGAATCCTCCTGTGTCTACCTCTCCAGCTGTGGGAATATAGGCACATGCCAGTTTGCCTGGTACTTTTTGTTATTTCTGAGGAATGAACACTAAGTCCTCATGTTTGTGAAACAGGAACTTTACCAACTGAGCATTTCCCACCCCTAATCTACTTGATTCTATAATAGAATTAATTTCCATTAGCAAGTAACAAGATAACAAAAAACCCACCCACTTTGATAAACCACCATCTATTAAATGCTCATTACATGTCAAATGTCGCTTTAAATTTTCAGTTATGCTAATTAAATGTTTGTAGCTTGTTATTATTGCCCCTATCAAGCAGCTGGAGAAGCTAGAGAACAGAAAGGAAAATGTCTTCCCCTCTATAAGATATCAGATATCGTTTGGCTAGGCATAGTGGTACACACCTTTAATAGCATCACTCTGGAGACAGAGGCAGGTGGACCTTTGAGTTTGAGGCCAGCCTGGTATACAGAGTTGAGTTCCAGGACAGCCAGAGCTACATAGTGAGACTTTGTCTCAAAACAAAAAAACAAATGAGATATTCTCTGCTCACCATCTCCTCATTCTGATTGCTCTGCCACACGTATGACCTCTCTCATCTTTGCTGGACACTGCCAACCTCCAATTACCTATCTAGTTCAACCAACCCTGGAGAACCCAACAGTGCTTTATCTTAATAATTTCACTGGCCAGACTGGCATTAATTCTCTCCACCAGTAAGCCCACCAACTCTTTTACCTTGGGTGTACATCTGGATTTATCAGTACTCACTGTGGAGAATACTTGATTGTGTCTCTAACATTCAGTCACTCCCAAGGTTTCAATGTCACCACATCCATTCAAGTGACCCTCCAAATACAAAAGGCCCAAATTCTGAACACTACTTAGTATATCTACCTCAGTGGCCTACCGTATCTCTCAACAAAGATTTCGTCTCTTAGAGTTCTACACACTTTCTCAGTCCAAGAAACTCACCCAGTGATTCTCTGCAAATGCTCTATCTGAGATGTCTATCATCATCAAAATATCCTAATTCCAGGCAAGCGAAAAAGTTTTTAACAAAAGGAAAAATTTCTTTAAGCAGGAACCTTTTAAAATGCCATTAATTTCTTAACATACACCAGGTATCTGAATAGTCTACCTTGTGGTACCTGAAAAACCACCCCAATTATCAATAATCCCAAGCAACACCCCTCCTCAGTTCTCTCCCAAAATGAGAGATACCAGTACCTATTCTCACTTAAGACCTTGGACTCTTTGTCTTGCTATCAAACCTCTATTGTTACAGCACTGTTAGTAATGGCCAGCTACTGATATGTCCTTTCATTCTAAATTCACTGTTTTTGACTGCTCCATGAAAGCATATCTAGACCTATTTATCCATTTCTTTTGCCAATCAGCACTGGGGCTTTGCCAGAAGATGTTCCTAGTTCAGTGAAAAGTTTAAAGCATGACTGAAGGGGGCCCATCGTTGGTCAGTAAAACTCCATGGTCAGTTCCTCATATACCTCTAAACAGCACTGTAACAGTATCTGGTGAGTTACATGTGCATTTGTAGCATACCCAGCAAGTTCCACAACTATGACATCATAACTTTCCTGCCTTGCAGCAAGCCATGGTGGTGGCAGATTTGCCTTCATGGGGATAGACACAGCTTCTGGATATTAGCTGTTTTTGTCTACAAAGCTTCTTCCTGCTATCAGGTCTCAGAGAATGCCTTCTTCACTATTATGGAATACCTCACAGAACTGCACCAGGCCATCAGTTCCTTGAGAGCAACAGAAGTGTGGTAATAGGCTCAGGATACAGAATTACCTGTTTTTACACACAGGACACCACCTGAAAGTTATTAGCCAACTGGGTAGAATAGCCTATTGAAGATTTCAGCAATAATGCTAGTTGGGAGACAAGATTCTGAGTATAAATTCTGTTCTCCAGGACATGACCTGTGGGGTTCAATACACAGGACAGCATAGGTCTGAGGTAGTGGTTCTCAGTGATGCCCAGGCCACCTCCAGAACTCCTGTTTCTGCTCCAGGAACCCTGCTGTTTAGACCTTGGTCCTGGGCAAGGCTTCCAACGAGACAAATCTGGTTCCAGTGAAATGTATAATGAAGCCAGGCACCTGAAGAGTCTGTGCCCCCAATGATATAAGCATAAGCAAGCAGGCAGGCAGGCACAGAACCAGTCTGTGGGCTGGAGCAAACAGGTTGGCATATGGAGTGGGAGATGATGTTCTGACACTGAATGACGGCAGTTGCTATATTCTGGAACCCAGGGAATTCTCTTGATACTTCTCTGCTTAATAAAGGGCCATACAATAGTAAAAACAGGCAGTACTATTGAGGATGAAAACCTCTGGGATATAGGTTTGAATAACCTCACTAGTTAATCCAGGACAACTGTGGTTCCAGTTAAGAAAGGGTAAGAAAGGAATAAGAGATGCAAGAAGGAACCATCAGTGCAAACAATGAACTGTGACCAACTGGAGGAAAAAATGAGGCACAGGCTTAGCAGCCCCAGCCTGAAAACCTGGAACTTTCTGTGTGCTTAGATTACACATTTTGGATTATAGATGTCCAACTAGTGGTCTATACAAATATTCTCAAATCCAAAATCTCAATATTTGAAATGCTTCTTGTCCCACCTGAAGCCACCTGCAGTGTGTCTCATGTTTACAACTGGTTATTAAAAGTGTGTTCATTTGTGTGGGCCAATCATTTCCTTTCTCTTTCCTATTCTGCTTTATTTTAAAAGTTATTCATAGTTAACTCTAGTCTTTAGACAAGAACCCGGCTCGAGGGTCATTTCCTCAGTAACACAATAGCTCTTGCAGATTGTACACCCTGTCTTCCTCACAAGCTGTAGGGTGAAGAGTACGAGATGAGAATGGAGTCAATTTCACCACTATGCTGAAGTTCACGGGTCAAAGGGTTGGGGTAAATGGTACTGTTTCATTTACTGCCTCTCCGTATCCACCCCCTATAGCCAACATTTTGGGCTGGCTCTCTCTATAAGGCAAGGGGGATGGGGGGTGGCAGGGGATGAATGAATGCATCTTTGTCCTTTATATGACTGTTCTCTTTGCTAGCTGGCAGCAAAGCTATGTGAGTAAAGAGTGCAGGAGAGACCCCGCAAGAAGAAAAGGCTGGCCCCAGTTCTGGTATGCTTTCACTTTCTCCTGTAGCCCAGGCTGCAGGGCTCACCTCATCAGAAGGTAGCAGCTGCCACCTGGCCCTGCATAGCAGTGGAGGGTGTCTCTAGCTTAACACTTTTCATGAGTGGTCCTTCCTCTTTACCTGACAGAGGAAGTCACGCACTCACACTGGGGTGGTACCACAACAACACACCTGCTGCTACAAGGCCAAGATCTCTGTACAAGGCATGGGTGCTCTACTGGGCACCATTCCAGTCTCTCTGCTGTTTACAGGCAACCCACTGCTACTCTAATTCCTTGTTAGTTAATGATAAACTCATCTTTCCTTATCTACTTTACTGTACTTTCTTCTCTGACTGCACTACCATCTAATAACCTGTAAGGGCAAGGCATACTCAAATTTCATCACAGTATTTCCTGTGCCTTCCAGAGCCAACTGTTGATAATAATTATCAATTTCTCCTGAGCCCAGTCCTATTCTCCACTGGATCAATCTAATCATTTCATCGTCTTTCTCATTGTGTGTATGTGGTGGGGGCGAGAGGTGGGAGAAGCAGAGGGGTACTACTTGGGAAAAGGACCAGTAGGGAGGGAAAAGGAACAGAAGCAACAGGAAATTATAGCTATTTATGAAAGTAGTATAATACACATTTACAAAAACCCTTCTTTAACCCTATTTCAGAGTGAAGTAAAAATGCCCAGACTCTTAATTAGCACAACTACCCCAGTCCTGTCTTCCTTCAACTACCACTCTTACATTTCTTCGCACAGTCATGGACACCTTGATATTTCTGACTATGGTTTGGGATGAATCTTTCATTTACTTTGTCTGTTACTTCATTTATTTATTTGTTTGTTTTTTCAGGACAGGGTTTCTCTGTGTAACAGCCCTGGCTGTCCCAGAAATCACTCTGTAGACCAGGCTAGCCTGGAACTCACAGAGATCCACCTGACTCTGCCTCCGGAGTGTGAGTGCTGAGATTAAAGGTGTGCACCACTGCTGCCGGGCTATCCAAGTCTGTATTATGCAGAGTCCTCTGATCTGGAGGACTAAATCTTCCACCTGAATAACCCACTCTTGATGGGACACTGAGACAACATAGACTGACAGACACTAGCACTACCTGAGATGTGCGGTGATATGCCCCTTAGAGGAACATCAAAACTCATATACTCGAGCATGCTCACACTATGCAGCAACAAGGAGTCTGTGGTAAGAGCCAGGGCTGCTCTCTTCAACTGGGTGAGGGCTCTTTGAACAAAATCATAACTCAGCTAGGCTTAGTTACTAGTGATAAACACCAACTCAAAATGATTTAATTTTTCTCTTACCTCCAGAAAGATCCATCTTATTGCTCTGTACATTTTCTTCTGGTGAGTCTCTCTGAAGTAGGAAAAAGCAATGTGTTAGCAGACTTTACCAAGGAAAACAAAAAGTGAAGAACTTTCCTGTGTTTCATCATCTCTTTTAAATTTGACTGTATTATGTGTGTTTGGCACGTGTGTGCAGAAGCCAGAATAGAGTTTCAGATGCCCTGGAGCTAGAGTAAAAGCAGTTGTAAACCACCCCCAACGGGTGATAGGAACAGAACCCTGGCGCTCTGAAGAGGAGCAAATGCTCTTAACCATGAAACTGCCTCTCCAGCCATATCTTTTTTTTAAATTATGTTTTAGTATATTTTTAATGTGCAGAAAATTATAAAATTTAAGAAATAAGGTTTGGTTAAAAACTTACTGATGAGGATTAATTTTTAAGAAAAAGATAATAAAACTGGGATAAATTATAAACCACCACTACAGAGGGTGGAGGCTGCTAAGAAAACATACTCACCGAAAAACTGATATTTGAAAACTGTTTAACAAATGGATTTATCCATGCGTCTTCTTGTTTGTTTCCACCTTTCATCATTGCCTTTGTAAAATAAAAGAGTAGAAAAGATGCCATGGCCATCTCTAATTATCTGAACACAGTGATGGACAAATAAACCTCAAGACAATTCCCAACTCTCATTTTTAGCCAATATTTTCTCCTTCAATCAACTCTTACCAGAGTTGTTAGCATTAAATAAATAAACTCATTTGATTTTCAACTTCCTTTGCTCCAGTCCTCTGGTATAGCTGCAGTGTATAGAGAAATCTCTAAAGGCAAGCAGTCAGAAGGAAAAGACACAAGCAAAGGGCCTTACTGACCCGGGAAGAGAAAAACGGGTCTCTGTGTAACGGAGACTAATGGGGTGCACCCACTTCACAAATGAACCATGGATCATTTGGATTTTTGGAATTCTTATACCAAATAAAAAATAGTAAGTAGGTTCTCCTGTTAGTCTTAAAACAATTTAATCCATAATTTAATCATAAAACAATTTAATCCATAATTTAATCATGATATGAGCATTCTACTGAAAAAAAAAATCAAAGCCCTCCAAGACATGATAATGTCTTTAAAAATTTCAATTTGTGTTGCTAAGAACACAGTATCGTGAGCAGCAGCTAAGTTGCTTTGGTGGGCTGGGCAGTACAGATATTACATTGAGAACCAAGGGGCCACAACGCAGCAGTCACAGAGGGAAGTTGGAAGCCACAGAGACCTAGGCCTCACATTGATGTGATGACCAAAGGGTCTTCTCTGTGTATTAATGTCCCTTTCCCATTGCTACTACCTGTTCCTTCTGACTGTGAAACAGCAGAGCTTCTTAACTCCCCACAAAGGCAGATCTCTAAAGCAAGCACCTAACCCTTTCCAAAGATTCTGAAGGCATTTCTGGTTCCTGTTCCCCCTCCACTACCTCCCATGGTTTGAACAATTGTCAACCTCTGCCCCTTCCATTCTTAAATGCATTTCTAACTGTTTCTCCTTTCTGGCTGGGATGTTGCAGTAGTCTCCTGAGATCCCTACAACTGGCACTCCGTCTACTCCAACTGGTATTACATACAAACATTGCATAGCTCTTTTTAAATAAGTTTTTAAAAAGCCACTGGAGTTGTTTTCTACAAAATTTCACTGGCTCCATACTTCCACATCCCAGCACATACTTGTGTGGAGCTCAATAGCCCATGAAGCTCGCCTGATGCCCCACCAGATAGTAGGAGCCCCTGAAAGGGCTGCTCTTCAGTGTATTGGAACCCCAGCACCAAGCACAGTACCTGGCACACAGCAGAAGCTAAATAAGAGTTTGCAGTTGCTTTCTAAAGATTTTTACTAGTAGAGACAAAGGAGAAAGAGTAAAAAGGCTACACACCCTTTCCCTTCTCCTTTTTTTGCCACTCAGACCCTGTAAGGAAAGACAAAGTCACAAAACAGCATGGTCCAGTGGGAAGAACAAGGTTTTGAATCTCAAGACCTAAACTTAAGTCCTTGCTTTGACACTAGTTACGAAACTTTGGGCAAGTCACCACCTTTTCCAGTCTCAACTTACTCCTCAGTATCCTATCTCAGAAGGTTATGAGGATCAAATGACTCATGTAAAACATGTAAAAGCACATCATAAGCTACATGGCCAGGCATCAATAGGCAAATCCAGCCAAATGAGAAAAACTATAAAATGAAAATGGCAGGTCCTAGACTTTTGAATCCCAGGATTAAAAGGGAATAACTTTGGCCTTGAGGGAGGCCAGGGACCCTCAAGGTCCTCAAAAGATCATTATTCTCAAATAGGGTGATGGGGATATTTTAGAGTCACTTCTGAGACTGGGCACTATTCTGAAAGATGTCCCAAGAGATTATGCCTCAACCCCAACCCCAATACTACTTCCCAGGACCCAGTGGTTCCTAAACCTGGCCCTACATTAAACATATTTGGTGAAGTGGTACAATTTCCAAAACTTCAGAAGACCTTGGGATATAGTAGACTATGTCTTGAACAAATACAATCCATTTCTCATGTAAAGCCAGGTATGGGAACACAATCTGCAACTCAGCCCCTTCCTAGGGATTTTCATCATAGGACCTTGGAGGTGAGGAAGGAACAATGATGATCCATGAATAGAGAATGACTCTGGGTAAGGGGAAGACTGGGACTCCATCCAAGTGAGGAGGTAAAATGGAAGATGGACATGAACTGGCAGTGAAATGGAGAGTCAACATGGAGATTTGCCCTTCTCTTCATCCTCACCACTGCTGGTACGACCTGGGCTGGGGTTGCCCCAAGCAGTACTGGTGGAGCTGAGGAGGAGAGAAATCCCGAGCTGTAACAGTGGGGAGAAAGGAAGTTCCTGTGGTCTTATGTTTTTCTAGGTAGCTGCCCATTCAAGAGGCTATTCCTAAGTTGGGGGCTGCCTGGACTGTACTGACTGCCATAAATGGGCAGAATAGATTAAATTTCTGTGGGTAAACTACCTTTGAGATTAAAGTTTCAAGAGCAACGCTCTTGAAATGTTTACCTTTGATGACATTTTCTTGGTATATGGTGGCCAATTTAAAGATGAGTTAAGCTCTTGAGATGAGTTACTGTTCCACATTCCAATCTCTACATCCTCCTCCTCTTCCCAGCCAGTGGGACGACTTCCAGGCAATGGCATATCATCACCACACCAGCCATCTTGCATAGATTTGGGCCCTGATTTGTAGATTTGTGATACAAAGACAAACAGACTTTAATGAAACAATTCTTCCAAGAGGTCAAACATACAGCAAAGTACAGAGACATTGGAGCTAAACAAAACACACCTTTACTTCTCAAATAAATGTAATAGAAAAGGTATGTTCTATGCTGTACTGAAAGTTCACTGGAAAGAATTAAAATATCAAATGAAACTTTCCATGTTTTCACAAATCAGAGGGTTTCTTTCTTTTCTTTTCATTCTGAGACAGGGCTTTTCTGGGTAACTTTGGAGCCTGTCCTGGAACTTGCTCTGTAGACCAGATTGGCCATGAACTCACTGAGAGACCTGCCTACCTATACCTTGACTGCTGGGACTAAAGGTGTGTGCCTGCCACCACCACATGGTTAATCAGAGGGTTACTAAACACAGGCAATGGCAGCTTCTTGCATGTACCCATTTGAACTTTAAAACGACACAATAGACAGAGAGGACAGCTGAGGCTCAAATGAATCAGTTTTGGATGTTTCTACAAGGCTGGTCAAAGTGTACTGAAGCCACCAGTAGCAAGCAATTAATCAACACACACACACACACACACACACACACACACAGAGCCTTTGGGGTTCCTATAAGCTTTTCTGAGCCCAACATGGTAAATAAACAACATTCACCTGCATCTCAGGATCCTTCCCATTTAAGATTTGATGGTCTGGACATCTGTCCCATGTTATACTATTTAGTCTCTCAGGTTAAATGGCATGAAAGTTGCTAAGTCCGTTTTAAATAATCCAATGAGGTGAGAAAGAAATTAGATTTGGTGGAGGACATGTTAGTCATTAGTAGTTTTAAGAAAAATGTATTGAACCTCATATAGAATATGCCATACCATATAGCTACATCAGTGACAATTTAGGAGCACTAGCCTATTCTTTAAATGCAGTGATATGAGTTCATCATCAGCATCACTACAAAATGGCTACTAAAGATCAAGGATGACTCACCAGATTTGCTTAATGACTGTGAACCAACAGAGCTGGAGCCCCACGTGGATGTGTTGGATGCCGCGCTAATGGGTTCTCCCCAGCTGGGACCACTGTCTATGGGCTTACCCCAGGCTGAAGTACCATTATCCACAGTCGTGGCTGGAGTAGAAGGCTCCCCCCAGGGCTCACCCCAGCCTTTAGGAAGTGTGGGAAAAGAAGTCATCAGCATGGATATAAGGAAACATAGCAAATAAAGAACAAGGAAGTACTTGATAAACCAGATGAAGAACTTTACATTCATATACTGAATAATGACTCTGTGACAACCATGAGGCATATTTTATGTAAAGACCATAAATTATTCTGCACTAATATAATTTAACTGTATAACGTTTTAACCTCTTTCAAAACTACTTTCTGATGCTAGGGCAGATTCTTTTGAATATTTTAACTACTATGCAAATCATCTTCCTTTGAGGATGAAGTTAGTACTTAAAAATGCCAGGTTCTTCTGAACGGAAGCCCATGAACTGAGCAGGTATAGCGTAAAGTGTTCTACTAGGCACACGTTACTGAAATGACACCCTTCCCACAGAACTGTAAAGAAGAACAACCTACTATACGACTACCAACAGACAAGAAACCTACTTTATACATACTGGATAATGTTCATTTAAAAGTACACAGAAAAAAAAAGGTCTACACTATTACATTGAGGTTGTCTAACCCCTCCCACACCCCGCCCCTGAAAAGCCACAAAAAAATTGTTTAAAGAATGAAAACAAAGATGTCTGCCCTAAAAGTTAAACATAAATCAACAGACTAAACTCATATTTAAAAACAAAGCACAACTAAGTACCAAAAGAATTCATCAAAACATCACCACTTCACTGTCCAATGAAACATTACTCAACAAAACTCCCATTAACAAAGGAAATATAAGCCTGTCACATTTGGAGAAAATGTTGCCATATCAATTTACAAGGAAAAGAATTTGCTCAGTATAGGAGAGGAAAAGTAAGAATATACTAGAAAGATACAGTGCACTGTTTTAGGTGCACACACTATATCCACTGTTATTTGAGTAGATGTGAACTTCTAATTTAGAAAATTACTCTAAAGTCACATACCAAATATCTACAGTACTGTACTCAGACACTTGGCTTCACTGTATTTCAATAATAAAACCAAACAGTTAAGCCTTGACTTAGAATAACAGAGAGAAGCACGTAACATTGCCACGTAGCCCCTTCTATATTCCCAGCAGAGTACTAAGATTCACAGCAACACTGACGAAGACAGAGTTGATGCCTTTGAGCACAGCTCCTATGACAGTGTGTCAACACAAAGCTTGCTTCCAGAGTACCACTGGACTCCAAAGATGAACGCTTACCAGAGCCACTGCTTGCCTCCTTGCTTGAGACAGCGTTTGCAGACGGCAGCAACCGATGCATCTGTGCTTGCTGGTCTGAGCGGCTGCTGCCATCTGGGATGTTTTTATTCCACATGTTCACATTTTTGTAGTTGTATTTGCTCGGATCTCCCCAAGCTGAAGTTCCATCGTCAATCTCCATTTTTCGTCGTATAGATTCTGGGGATGGCTCCTCCCAGCCTGTGGGTTCTTCCTCCTTTGTTGGAGCTGGAATAGGTCCTCCTAGCCAGCCTGTACCAGGAGGCTTGCCGGTAGCTGGTGGGATTCCCCATGATCCAACAATGTCTTGTTGCTTGTTCCAATCTGGAGAACTAACTGGTTTTGATGAATCTCCCCAACCTAGAGACTGATTACACTTTGGAGGGTCTCCCCATCCCTGGGAAGAATTAGGTTTAGAAGATTCATCCCATCCTGATGAATTATTTGGATTTATATTATTTCCCCAAGTAAAAGAACTAGTTTTACCAAGTTCGTTCCAACCAGAAATGGACCTGTCACTGTCACTACCTCCTGAGCTGGATTTCTTGTTAGTCTCACCCCAATGGTTACTCCTGGAAGTTTCTCCCCAGTTATCACTGGCAGAAATGGACCAACCTTGGTTTGCCTTTTGTCCATCACCCCACCCTTGTTTGTTCTTTTGCGAATCATTCCATGCAGACTTCTCTTCTTTGCAATTCCCCCACTGATTGCTCTTAATCGTTCCTGTAGCAGCAGAATCATCTTCCCACCCCCCCTGGCAGTTTGAGCCTTTGGAATCTCCCCACCTTAGAGTAGGTTTGGGATCACCCCACCCTGATACAGATGAGGTATCATTACTATTAGGGCTAGTCTTATCTACACATGCCCCTGAGTTAAAAGTCTGTGTTGCAGAGCTTCCCCAGGCCTCTGTCCCATTGTCAGTCTTTCTTTCCCCTCTTGGTGATGTCTCTGTATCCCAGGCAGTATTCTGCTTAATAGGAGTCTGTCCCCAACCAGAGTTGGATAGGACACGTGGATCTAAGTCAGTTCTGTTTACAATGCTTTGGAGTAATGTGTGCTGATCAATTTTTCTTCTATCTCTACTCTGACTTTCCCCAGTTACTTTTTCTTCAAGGCGTCCAGTGCTCTCTGTACTACCATCACTCTCCACTGTGCCTCCTGTTTTGGCCCACACACTGTTTTGCTCATTTGTCTGAGATGTGGCAGAACCCTGATCCTCTTCCTCAGTAGATTTCCATCCATTTGTAAACTTCTTACCATTGCCATTTACACTGTCATTGGAATGCTGATTGCTAGGCAGTTTGTTCCACTCAACACTGGGTAGACTAGGGCCAGTGTTCTGTGCAGGACTTCCCCATCCTCTTCGACTTCCTCCAGAATTCGCACCATTTCCACTTCCCCAAGGTGAACTCTGGGAATTCGTTGTCCCAGGCTCCCATACACCTCCCCCTTTATTTGTGTTAACTTGAAAGTTAGTGCCCATAGGCCCATTTATGCCAGGCTGCATTAGAGTTGCATTCACAGTGTCACCATTGGCTTGGCCATTAGGTCCTACACATTTGTCGCCAGAGTAATTAGAACCATAGGCACCCCATGTAGTACCGTAGGAGCCTCCAGTTTTTGACTCTCCATTGCTTAGGTGAGAAAGGGAAGTGCCATTCATAACTGACGGAGCCTGTATCTGAGGATGATTCATTGTGCTCACACGCCAGGCCCCTGGATTACTAGTAGGCAGTTCATTATTCTGTACTGAACCGGAGTTTGGTAAACTAGAGGTCATAAAGTTAGTAGTGTTATTTGGTCCAGTTGTTTCAGTGGTGATATTCTGAGGTTGACCACTGAACGAAACCTTCTGTGTACCACTTACTTCAGGCTCGCAAGTGTCCTGAAGGCTGCCCCAGGTACCATGGGTAGAAGAGCCACTGACTTTAGAGTTGATACTCTGATTGTTAGGCATCTGGCCTATGGTACTACACTGAATATTGATGCCAGAACTCCCACTCCCTACAGGCCCTTTTAGGGCAAGTCCATTGTTTTCTAATACTGGCCAGGCACCATGGTTGCTAGCTGAATTCAAAGTGCTTGGATTTAACCCTCCATTTGATGAAGAACTTACAGTGCCCCAAGCATTCATTCTATTGTTATTACTTTCTGATTTGCTTTCAGGAGCATCCACAGAGACCTGACATGTGCTTATTATGGCTCCATGGGGGAAGCCCCATGGCCCAGTACTACTTCCGTGGCCTACATTATTGCTGCTGCTACCAACCACAAACTTGCTTTGAGAACCGAGTCCAGTGCTATTCCGAAGGCCATCTTTTTCACCACCTGTGTTCCCTGAAGCCATGACAGTGATGTTTCTCTCCGACTCAGAACTGGAGGCAGAATCAGCATCCATACATTCTGAAGCCAACTCAGGATCACTGCCAGGGACTGAGGGCCATGCTTCTTTTTCCAACAAGTCCTTTACAGCATTCTTACAGCTTGTGCTACAGTCACTTGTAGAAGACACAGGTCCCCGCTGGCAATTTTCATAATGGGATCCTGAAGTATTATGATTTATATCTAGAATAAAGGAGAAATACAACTATTTATAAAGCGTTAAGCATTTTCAAAATACTATGTAGGCTGAGAAAAGTGAGGATCCATTACAAATACATGTAGCTCCTCAACATTAGCAAGATGCTCCACAGTATGGTTGAGGCACTGGTTATCTTCCAGCCACCAACTCTCCATGGTCAGTAATTTCACAGGCAGAATTATGTGCTTTGTTCAACATCCTACAGCACTGAGAGGAACAGAAAGCCCCATAGGAATAACTGCTAAATGTATACATTGGTAAAAACCCAATAAATCAAGAATTTTGGAGTAAGGAAGACTGGGCAGTAGTGATGAATTACAGTAATCCAGGTTCAGAGACTTGACTTAGGAGAAAATGGACTAGGGAGTAAGGAGCCCATAATGATCCAGTTTCCTAAAATAGCTTTCTACACAACACCTTTGGGTGTTGTAACAATTCTGTAAAACTCTCAAAGTCTTTGTACTGTATTTCTACTTTAATAGTGTATGCATTCAAATACAGTGTAACACACAAGCAAGAATAGTAATTTTCAAAAAATTAATCTACTTTCAAGGTCTTGTTTATTAAGGGACAACAGGGAAAAATTATGGTTAGTAACTCAGCAGCTGATATTGTAGTCCATTAGGGACTAATCATACAACCTCAGTCTTAGACTTACTGCCATGTAATTAACATCTACTTTTGGTTTTTTTCTACAGACAGGGTTGCTGTGTGTTTTTGCTAGTTTCTTGGCCTATTTTGTTTGGCTTAAGGGTCTGGTGGGTAGAAATGCATCTGCGACAATAGCTTCGTAAGGTATCTGCATTTAGGCTACCTTGAGGAGTAGCTTACAATACAGTTCTCAGTAGTCTCTAGAAATAAATCAAAGTCACATTGGTAGTATGATTTGCTACTATGGAAAATGATTCTGCTTCTAAAACTTTCTCTCAAAGCAAAGATGCTAAGAAACAAATGATGGAAACTGTTACAAATGGTAAGAAAAGCAACTACAGATCTACCTGCAAGTGAGCATAATTCAAGTAAGTAGCACAGAATTCACAGGCTACTGCTCCTTTTCAGAATTATTTTATCAAAGAGCTATCAGAAGCTGGGTGTGGTCACACCTTTAGTCCAGACCCTGAAAAGGCAGATCTGTGACTCAGAGGTAAGCCTAGAGAATCCTGTCCTTCTGCCACCCCCAAAGACAGTCAACTTAGTTTGTCTTCTATTTTCCCTGAGAAGAAATAATTCTGCACTGTAACACACAGCAGCACAAACACCAGCCCATGGTCAGTATTTATTGCCACACAGCAGCAGCTTTGCAAACATTTGCATGAAGTTCTTCAGACAATTCTAGAGCACAACTATTGCCCTCACTTTGCAGAAGAGAAAACTTGTAGAAACTAAATGAATTAAGCAAGATGTGCTGGATAGTTCTATGTCAACTTGACACAAACTAAGTCATGAGAGGAGGCAATTTCAAATAAGAAAATGCCTCCAAGCAGGGTGTAGTGGTACAAGCCTTTAATCCCAGACTCAGATCAGTCTGGTCTACACGTAGAAACCCTTTCTAGAACAACAAAACCAAACAACAACAATAACAAAAATGCCTCCATAAAATCAGGCTGTAGGCAAGCCTGTAGGGCATTTTCTTAATTAATGACTGATTGGAGAAGGCCTAGCCCACTGTGGATGGTGTCATCCCTGGGCTGGTGGTCCTGGGCTTTATAAGGTGGCAGGCTGAATAAGCCATTGAAAGCAAGTCAGTAAGAAGCACTCCTCCACAGCTGTTACATCAGCTCCTGTTTCCAGGTTCTTGCCCTGTTTGAGTTCCTGTTCTGATTTCCTCTGATGATGAACAGTGACATGGAAGTGTAAGTCAAATAAACCCTTTCCTCCCCAACTTGCTTTTTGGTCACAGTGTTTCATCACAGCAATGACAACCCTAACTAAGACACAAGGTAAGTTAGATTCCTCCAAGAAGCAAAATAGCTAAAAATCTGTGACCAGCACACCAGCAACAACAGAACTCAAACTTGGATTCTTCACAGTGGCTAGAGGGTGAAATAAGGTTATGCTATTTTCATCTGAGGGTAGCAAGTGCTGGAAACTGAACCCTTTTCATGTTGGGCAAGTGTTTTACCACTGAGCTTCGTTTCTGTTCCTTTGTTGAGATGAGGTTTCTGTGTAGCCCCGGCTGGCCTCAAATTTGTGAACAATCTTTCAGCATTAGCCATAAGAATGTTGAGATTACAGGCGTGTGCTACCAGACCAGGCAAGAGAGGGTATATTTTAATAAATATGGTTGTTCGATTAACCAAAGCTACTTTACACAAAGTGTTCAGTTACTGCTGTCAGTAGTAGTTGAGAATTTCATTAAAGACTGGCACGGTGGCCATGTCTTTAATCCCAGCACTTAGGAGGCAGAGGCAGGAGGATATTTGTGAGTCTGAGGCCAGCTTAGTCTACATAGTTCCAGAATGTAGAGGAACCCCGTCTACAACAACAACAACAACAAAACAAAAAACAAAAACCCCACTAAACAAACAAACAAACAAACCAAGAGACACTGTACCACTTATCCAGTCTGTGAGACCAGAGAGAACTTTCTCTTTGTATGCTTTAGTTTCCTCATCTAGATAATAGGGAGTTAATCTAGATGATCCCTATAAGGATTAAATGATTAACAACTGAAGGTACTTTGAATTGTATCTGATCCATATAAGGCACTAAATATAGGGTATCACCATCATTAATGAATGCACGCTCACAGTTATCATTCTTCCATTCTATCCTCCAAACATGTTTTCATTTATCATAGCACTCTTATTAAGAACAAAATGACAACACAAATCACAGCTAGTGAAGTCTCAGATTTATTGTAAATACAATGTTAACTGCTACACTTACACACCTACAATGCCTCCTTCTAGAAAACATGTGAAGTGAAGCATAAAACTTCTTTACTAATTTTCCAGAACAAAATTTATTTTTATTTACATGTCTAAGTACTTGTGACCTGTGATGCGTGCGTGCGTGCGTGTGTGTGTATGTGTGTGTGTGTGTGTGTGTGTGTGTGTGTGTGTGTGTGTGCGTGTGCGTGTGTTTTCCTGGAGGCCAGAAGAGGGCACTGGATCGCAGCTGTGACCGACCTGATTTGGGTATTGGGAAGACACTTAGTCTTCTCAAAGAGCAGCAAGACTTCTTAACCACTAGCCAAGATACAAGCCTCTGCCTTTATTCTTCCCTATGCACAATAAACCAAAACCATCATCCATTGCTAAGTGTAAACCTTTCCTCCAAATCTAGAGCACAAATCAGTTTTACCACTATCCCCCACCTTGAATCATGGCATTATGTTAGCAACACTACTATTCAATCCCGTGCTGGAAGGACTACCCAATAAATTATAACTCAAAGATAAATAAACAAACAGGGACACAAAAAGATCAACATAAAAAAAACAAAAAACAAAACTACCAACCATACAGACATGGTTGGTGGAGTGCTTGTCTGGCATACACAAAGCCCTGGGTTCAGTCCCTAGCACTGCAGAAACTGGGCTTGGGAATACAAGAGTCTGATCCCAGCAGTGGAGAGATGAGGTGGTGGAGGCAGGAGGATCAAAGTCCAAGGTTATCCTCAGCTGTATAATCAGCTAGAGGCCAGGCTGAGTACACAACAGATCCTGTCAAAAAGAAAACTTACCAAGAAAAAATTATCTCCCCCCTCAATGGGGGAAAGATCTCAATATTCAAAAGTCATAAAATCACTTACAAAATAACTAACAAGAATAATTGAATGTCCTATATAACTAGCCTTTATTGCAGCCTACAGTGGGGTAAAAAAGAACTTGTTATATATAGAAACTCAATTCTGAATGAAATGAAGTAGCAAGACTCTGGGCTTAACCAGAGTATGTAACAAGATAAAAAGTGACTCAGACATGTTTGTGTAACAGGTACAAGAACTGCTCCAGTCTCAAACAGAGGGAGCCTGCAGGATCACACAACAGACAACAGCAGTGCACCAAGGAATTGAATAAGCACTACAGCTAAAACTTAAGCCAATTTAGGAGAAAAGGAATACTCAGTACTTGGAAAATGTTTTTTTTAATGAGACAATAAATCAAAATCACCAAATAATTAAAGTTTTAAGAATAAGGAGGAAAACAAGATACCGGTAAAGAGAATTTTTTATTCAAAAAGAAAAGGGCCAGGTAGTGGTGGTGCACGCCTGGATGGCCATGGTGAATCTCTGTGAGTTTGAAGCTAACTTGGTCTACAGAGTGAGTTCCAGGACAACTGGATGTACACAGAGAGACACCATCTCAAAAGAAAAGAACAAAGAAAAGAAGCCAACAGTAGTAATGTTGCAGCTGTGATCCTAGCACTCAAGAGGCTGGTGCAGGAGCATAGAATTCCAGACCAGAGTGGGCCACAAAGTGAGTCTTTGTCTAAATCTCCTACTCCCACCCCACACAAAAAAAGAAAAAAACCATAAAACCATAATATAACTGATTTGATCTCTTACAAAACATGAAAAACAGCAGCAGCAGGCTGACACCTGTTACCAAACGTGTTCTCCGAGTCTGGCCTTTACTTCATCTGGAGATGTTTGTGGTGATCTAATGGTTTGCTGTTGTACTGTTTTCTTACTTACGTTAGGAAAATAGGGAGAAGCACCTTCAGTAATTATGACCGAAAACTCCATTTTAAAACTGTAACACACTTGATACCTTCAATAAATCCTAATAGAGAAATTGTTTTTAAAGTGGGTTATTACAGATGACTCAAGGCATTTTTGATGATGAAAATGCTACAGTATAGAAAGGGAAATGATGGGAAAAGGAAATGGCAACTCAGGAATCAGAGTCAGAGGCTTATCAGGCATGAGAGTCCAGTAGAACAAGGAAGTCAAAGCCCATTATCTAAGCAATGTGGAGGACAAACATTCAAGCTTCTAAGTACAGCATGACTATGACTTTCTCCCAAGAAATCGTGAG